ATGCATAAGACACCATTAGAATTTCAGCTTAGAGTTTTCTCTGTGTGTATACCTTCAAATAACCTGTCAATTTATGGTTTGCTATTGTTTTGTTGCCACTGTGTGGAAATACTGGATGTTGAAAGGGATCATCAGCACTACCTCCATCATCACCATCACTGTCCCCAATGGCTGTAAACTAATAGACTTTTGCTCCATAAAACTGTGCCCATTAACTTCTCCATTTAATGTTAATCATGTGGCTATCACTACATCTTGTGGGTTATGGATTCCATAAATTAATACTTTCTATCATCTATCTATCACATCTACCATTCATATTGGGCAAAGATCCATTTTCTCTTGCCTTTTCTGTATCATTTCCTAGAAACTGACATTCTTTGAATGTCAAAAGAATAATATTTTCATGTATGCAGACTGAGCAGGATATGCAATTAGTTGCCACCAGGTGTCAGAAGCAAATTACAGAGTTCAGGCTCTAGAACTTGGCTGACATTGCATACAACTGGCTCAGAAGAAAAGGAGGAAATCAGCCTGAGTTTGCTGAAAGATAACACAGATAAGAGATTTGACCAAGCAATATAAATAGGCCCTGGTATTAAAGGAACTTCAGAAGACTCCTTAGCCAACTACCATTCATATTGTTATGGAATGCCTTTCTGTGTGAGGTGCAATGAGTGTGGGTTTAGCATGAGACAAGATGTCACACTTGACAGAAAAGCATGGATAACCCAAATCTTATGGTAATATGTATCAGTGGGAGTTGATGGGCAGAAGACATGAGTCATCAGGTTGCAAGAGGAGAGAGAAAACTATCTGCACATGAAAAGAACAAGAGGCTAGAGCATGAGAGAATCTCTCTCTCTCTGTCTTTCTCTGATTGTCAGTTTGGCATATAAAGATCTTAGGATGGTGGCTGTGCTTGTAACCCAGGAGAACTGAGGTAGGACCTTTGGCTATCTGTTGAAAGCCATGATCCTATTGAGGGTTGCCACTGCATAATAATATCATGGTGATGTAACTCTGGTATAGTGAATCACCTGAGTTATCCAGATTGCCAGGGAGAAGATGCCAATGGTGTAGCCATGGAGAGTGGGGATGGGGAGATGAGGGCACTGTCACCAAAATAAGAAACCTGTGCCTAATGACATTTTCCTTCAATCCGTCAACCTCCAAACAGCTAGCATTGCAGTAACTTAAAACTTATTTGTGCATTTTGAAAGACAGCTTAGACATCTAATGAAAAGAAGCAGGCAAAGTGACTAAAGGAATATGAACCCACCAAATATAAGAGTTCTAAATGTACAGTTTTCAGTGTCTCATTCTCTGTATTGTTAGAAATTTGGGGACCCAAGGAAAATTTTTCACTTGAGGACAGAATTCTTGTTTGGAGGAGGTCAATGACTCATTTCAGGCCCGCTCACCTTCACATCTATATCCCCCAATCCATCTCTCCAAAATGTCAGATTGTTGGGGCACCTGCTGAGACCCTTGAGGAAGAAGGCTCTTGAGATGTCCACTATCTTCCAGTGACCTCCTTCCAAACAACTTTCCACTCCTCAGAGATGGGGAGTATGCATAACACTATCTTTTAGTCATGTGGAAGAGTTATTCCTAGTGGAATGGTTATTCTAGCCATTTAACAGATAGCTACAAAATGATTTCTTGCTATACACTAACAAAATTATTACACTACTAGGCTGGATGAAGAGTACATATATAGTGGGCCCGCCACATTCACTGGAGTTAGGGGTGCAGGACCACCATAAAAGTGGAAATACCACAAATTAAAAAAAACCTTTATTTTAACCTGAGAGAACATCTCTCTTTACATCCTTCAGTGCAACTCTATGGTCAATATCTGCCAGGGGTTGACCATAAAATTGTGCTGTGCAACCTACAAATGCCTAGAGAAGTGTTCTCTCTAGCGAGTTTTAGGTCTTCTAGCATGACTTCTGGTGGATGCAATAGAGGTTCTAGAGATGCTAGAGGGAACATATTAATAAAACCTCATGCTAGACGTTCTAGAGATTCCTAGAGTCAATAATAATAATAATAATAATTCTTAGAATCCACAAATTATGAAATCTGCAAAAGTCAAAGACACAACTGTGGTATGCCAACTGTAGTGGAAAGAGATCCACTCCTCTCTCTCTCTCTCTATATATATATGTCTTATATGTTTCCGCCTGTTGAAAAAGAGTTTCAGCTTAAAGAGTGGCCATGGTTGAGACATTTCCCAAAGAACTGATTTAACCTAATGATGATATCTTTGCACTTAAACGTTAATGCAATTCTTCTGACTGGGAATTCAGTCTTCAGGCATTGACTGGGATTCAGCATAGTTTGAAGTGATGTTTAAGGAGATGTGAAATTTTAATTTATTCTCTTTTAACATGCATAACTGTTGCTTAACAACCATCAGGCTTATAAAAGTGAAGCCTTTTATTTTTAAAAGAAGGAATGACAAGTTTTTCTTTATGCTAATTTGTATCCTTCTCATTTTAGCATCATACAAGTACCAGACAAAACCACACTAACCCTTTTACACATATCACTGAATTGTCTGGAAAGTCATTTTGAACCATTCACTGCTGTGCACTTGTGTCTTCATTGCAATTAATTTAGGCAAGACCAAGGAGATGAAGAAAATATTTCAGGAAAACAAATAATTGATCAAAGCCTATTGTAATCTGCCATTAATGAATATGCAAGGTTCTTCCTTAATGTAGAATTAATAGTTCTACCAAAAGAGTTTGAAAATTCACTGTTTCTTTGTATTTAAAAATAAAAACTAAAGTCCTCTTTCTAAGCTAAGGATCTTTGGCTGGAGGGGGAGACCAAACACTTAAAACATTTTCATTGTTTATAACTAAATTCATGGAAAATTTACAGAGTTTTGTTGCTTAATAGATTTATATTGTGTGTTTATTTCTTCAACAACAACTTCCTTATAGACCATAATGATTAGGGGAGTGTGTTGACCACCTCTGTAATTTTTCTTAAGTCTTGAAACAGTGCTGTTTTCCATCCTCCAGAGTGAGACTGGGAATCATGCAGCCTGCAGCCTGCCCTTTGTGAGGTCCAATAAGACCCTTCACCACCACCACAACCCCTCACAATTGCCAAAATTATTTTTAGTCAGAAGTCTCCACATTTTCCACTAGAAAAACCTTTTTTAAAAATACAAAGTGCTATTTAAGGAGATCTCCATATTATAACAGGAAGATTCCCCTTACCCCCTCCAAAAAAAAAAAATGATCATCCACAACTAGAAGTGATGTGGCATTTCCTCAGCTCACCTAAAATAGCAACTAAACAGTGTACTGTGAACCTCTGGCTCTCGAGTAGAGTATGATGGAGGTAGAAAAATACACATTGTCTCTACCATCTAGTTGTTGATCTTGTACAATCCATCTGGAGGTAGTTTTGTGATGAATGTTGTAAGTTTCTTACATTTTATGAGCCGTTTTCCTTGCTATGGGGAATACACAACTGTTACAATCATCTCTTATTTGTCTTATTTGTCTTTTTAAACTGTTGCATGTTTTAATTAAGGTGGTTTATTGATGATCTTAATCAATGATTTGTTGTTGTTCCCTGCCTTGATCCATGGGGAGAGACAGGTAAGAAATGAATAAATAACAAGAAGAAGAAGAAGAAGAAGAAGAAGAAGACTCTCACAAGATCACCATTAATTATTATGTGTACAGAATGTGTATGTGTGTGTGTGTGCCTTCAATTCACCTGTTGACTTACAGCAACCCGATGAATTTTATAGAGTTTTCTCAAGCAAGGAATACTCAGAGGTAGTTTTTCTAGTTCCTTCCTCTGAAATAAAGTTTGAAGTACCTGGTATTCATTGGTAGTCTCCCATCCAAGTTCTAACCAGAGCTGACCCTTCTTAGCACACAAGATCAGATGGCATCTTGTGCTTTTGGGATATTTTGGTGAATCACAGAATGTTTAAGGAGAATCAAGTCTTAAGAGTTTATATCATATTGATTTCTATAGTGACCCAGTCAAATAACAGAGACTTAGGATCTGTCTATCACAGTTCAATCCATCACTGTAAAATAAAAAGAAACCAAACACACACACACACACACAAATGTATTGGAACTTCTTTGAAGATAGTGGAGGCATACATCAACTATGCCACTCTAATTCTGATAAATGTATTTATTTAATTTCTTGCCCATGCTTCCAAGGACGTAGCCACACTGCAGAAATAAGTAGTTTGATACCACTTTAACTGCCATCACTTATCCTACAGGATCCTGGGATTTGTAGTTTGATGAGGTACCAGAGCTCTCATAGACCAAGCTGAATATTTCACCAAACTACAAATCCCAGGATTTGCCAGGATTCCACAAGATGTTTTATTTCTGCAGTGTGGAAGAGCTGCAAAGCAACTCAGGATATCCTCTATCTAATGAAGAATTATAGTTGGGTTCAAATTCTTGAATTTCCAAGAGAAAGATTGCTGGCTCCAATGGGATTTACATCATTGATTTCATTTAACATTTGATTCGGTAGGATTAGCAATGGGATTAGTCCTTGGAGAGTTATTGCCAGCCAGAATGACATAGCATAGCTGTACGGCAAAACAATCTTAACTAGGGTAAAGGAGTGCCTACATTTCATATCTTTATATAGTTATTGAGAAAGGAAAGTCATTATTTTCATTATGAGGCACTCTGGATGGTTTGCAACATACTTCAAAGTAAAATAAAAATTTTAAAATAATAAATTTTTTCAAATAATCAATTAAAAACTAAAAATAGAAACATTCTTCATATTCTTCCCAAGATACTGAATCATGGAGCCATGGTGTTCAGATAGAGTGTAAAGGTAGCACTACACCAAAATCCAGTGTAGTGTTGACTTTGGCAAGTCACTTTCTCTAAGCCTCAAAAGAAGGGAATAGCAAACTCTTTCTAAGCAAATCTCACCAAGACACCCCCACCCTGATAAGCTCATTTTAGGGCTGATAGACTGGAAGTGTGGCATAATGCTACGAGTGTTGGACTATGACTCCGGAGACCAGGGTTTGAATCCCTGCTTAGCAATAAAACTCATTCTGTGACCTTGGGCAAGTCACACTCTCTCAGCCTCAAAGAATGAAAATGACAAACCTCCTCTGAAGAAATTTGCCAAGAAACCCCATGGTAGGGTGCACACAACAGGGTGAAGCAACTTGAAGGTACACAACAGCAGCAGCAACAACAACAAATTGAAAATGACTTGAAGTCATACAGCAACAAGGAACTACACTATATTGTTTGTCTCCCCTTCCTAAAAAAACAAACAAAACAGTAACACTTTTTTGATGCTATCTGCCCCCTGACATCACCATGTAGTGGCCAGGGAAGAGTGCAGGATGGCTGAGAAGCATTTGGCAATGTGACTATAGCCAAGCAGACAACAAACAGACAACGGCAGCCAGACACATAACACTGACATCATCCTTGCACATCAGTCTATAACCTGACACCCATAGCCAGATGTTTTTCAGTTGTCTCCCACTCTCTATTGGCCACTACATGGCCATGTCAGGGAGGAGTCATCATGGAAATGGTGGTTCTTCGAGGGGGTTTGGTTAGTGTGCAAAGGAGGTAGAGAACTCCAAACTTCACAATGACCCCCTGCCCCAAAAGAATGAAGGCATAAGATGGTATAAAATGGGTTTAGGCTTGCATATGTCACTAACAGGATGCTAGCCAGGAACAGGATACCTACTGGGGAGAGGGGGAAGATGTGTGTCTTTTGAAGCTCTGGATCACAGCTTTGTGTTCCGTGTGTGTTGCTCTCTATATTAATCTTCCCCACTTAAAAGTGCAGACATATACCTAGACCATTTTTCATTGTACAATTAAACCAACAGCAGATGTGATGGTTGACAACATTTTAGACATGCAATATAATGTATAATCTGAATTACTGTTGCACATTTGGCTTAATGATTATGCATTAACTTGTACAGTGAGTAATAATATTATCAGCACTTATCTTTGCCAAACAGATCTCAGCGTGTGCGTTTTAAGTTCAGGAATGTGAAATAACATATATTAATATCATCCATATCCAGTCACATAATCCTTCTTATCCGCAATGGAAAAGGGAAGGAGCAGGGAAGAATGTGGAATAGGTAAGATTCTAACATGATAGTAGGCTCAGAAGCATTGTGACTGGTAATAAAAATATGCTGTGGATGTGTCAGAAGCTGAGTCTTTCATCTTGCCTGCCATGGTTAATACGGTAATAATACTGACTAATGGGACATGTAGTCCTAAGTTAATTGTTAAGGCTATTGTTCACATTTCTTTACAGATGGGAAAAGGGAGGAAAGGCGGTGTTGGGAATTTCAAGGTCAGTCTCATGAAAATAGATGGTACAGGGTGATCATAGGAAGAAAGGAGAAATGGGTTTGTTTGTTTTAATGAGGTATCAGCCTGCAAAAACTTTTAATTACTGTATGCTTTAATTACGCAGTGTTAAAGCTAATGTCTTAGTCCTCACAACATATGACTATAATTTCTGAATAAAAGTTTTCTATTTTTTCACTACTGTATTTCTGACCTGAAGTATTCCTGAACATCACAGGGTGCCAACGTAGTAAGTACCAGTACCTTTTTTATGCCTGTTGTGTGCAGTTCACTCAGAAGCCCGTAAAGGAGATTTATTCCCAGTTGGGTATGCTCAATCCTACACAAAATTTTTAATTCTGCATCCAACTCTACATTTTGACCCTAGTATAGAATGGTGGCATTTTTCCTATCCCATCCTACAGCCCAGGTAACTTCTAGCATTTGGCTCACTTCTGAATCAATGGTGTCACTGTACCTTCCTTCCCTTCATGAAACTGGCAGTTATTTTTCTTGTCCAACAAAACTGAACCCTTTTTTTTTCATAATTGCAAATTGGTTACATAAGCATTTCCATCTTCTCCAGTTGAGAGGAAGCCAATACAATTGGATTTCCTCCCATCCCTCATTATCTCCTTTTATAGAAATAATACATTGGTCCAGCCCTTAGGCCAAATTGTTCATGGTGGACTTCTCTACCTTTTTAAAAGAAGCTTGATCTAATGGCTCTTCATCATCCCTCCAAGACTTAACACTATTTCCTGGTGAAACCTATGTTTACATTAAATCAGGGTGAGCAACTTTGCCAGTCCTGATGACTACACATACCCCCTGCTATATCTGAGATGGCCACACTTTCCACCTCAAACCCCAATTTTTAAAATAAATTATTTACTAAAAATATACCTTGTGGCCTCTAAGGCTTGTAGTACTAATTTTGAGAAACATTTTCTAGCATGTTTCAGATTCAAGATATATATATATATTTTCTAAATAAGGAGTGACCAACCAGGAGTTCAATTAAAATGGGGCTCATGGGGAGATTCACTGCAGCCTTTGGAGCCCTCATATGGCTTACCAGCCACATGTTACTCACTCTTGCATTGTGTGTGATGATTTAAGTTACCCATTGACCTGTGATGACCCCATGAAGTTCATTAGGGAGCAAATATGCAGAGATGATTTCCCATTGCCTTACTCCATAGGCAGGCTTAAGCACTTGGCCTTCCTTGGCAGTTCCTATCCAGGTACTAATCAGGCCTACTCTTTCTCAGTTTTCAATGTCAGATGAGATCTGAAGTACCTTTAAGTAGTATGGAAAGAAGGAAGAAGGAATTACAGTAGAAGCTGCACCAACCCGAACATCAGTTGTGGGATTAATTATCAGAGGGGTGGCTTATTACCACTTGAGAGAAGTCGCATTTTTCTATAATCTAGTAGCTCCTCCTATTGCCATTCAGTAGAGTCAAACAGAGCTCACAATAAATATTGTAGGAATTTGTTATAGGGTGAGGAGTAGTGTGATAGATAGGTTGGCTGAAAGACTAGAAGCTGATTAGGAGTTGTTCAAGAAGCAAAATATTCTGTTTCAAAAGGCTCTATGGATTTCACTTTCTCAAACAGCCAGTTTGCTATCATTCTCTTTTGCAATAGTTTTGTGTCTGTGCACCAGCCCTGTCCCTATGATGAAATCACACAGATATGATCCAGGAATGCATGGCCATAGTGATCTAAATTTAAATTGCAAAAAAGTTGAGGGCAAAGAAGTTTGCTTCCAAAGATATTCACTTACTGCTCTGTAAATTTGCATTGCAAGCCACATATTCTTGAACTACAACATCATTAGTAAAACTAACAAATTCTCTCTCTCTCTCTCTCTCTCTCTTTTCCCATGTTTGTCTTCATGCGCCTGCTATATTCAGTTTAGCAATGGTGCTGATGGGTGATAGTATGTGGCTCATTCCACAGACAGGAAAACTAGTAGAAAAGGTTTAATGCATTCAGGTAACCATTAATAAGCTAAATAATAAAATGAACAGTATTTATTTTAAAAAGGAGAAAATGTATCTGTTAAGCTGACGTTAAATTGCCATTTAAATTTGAGTTAAATGTTTACACTAAACACCTAACTTGAATGAAGCTGAAAAATGTAGTGGTTGGTTTTACCTCCTACTGCTGCTGTTTTGAGCTTTGGGGAAGGATGAATATATGAAAATAGTATTTTTCATTCTTCCATCAGAAACCTTTTTCTTTTTCTTCCTCCCTTACAATCTCTTCTCCCTGTCCACCCTTCATCTTTAGTCTATTGATTCCCAGTAGAAAAGATTCAGTATTAAAAGCTTTAAGACTGCATTTGCAGTGCAGAAATAATTGAAGTTTACACCACTTTAACTGCCATGACTTAATCTATGAATTCTAGGAATTATAGTTTTGTGAAGCAATTAGCCTTCTCTGTCAGAGAGCTCTGGTGCCACAACAAACTGCAATCCTCATAATTCCATAACATTGAGCCATAGTAGTTAAAATAATGTCAACCTGGATTATTTCCATAGTGTGTCTGCAGTCCCAGTTTCCTGGAATAGAAGATGAACTTCTATGCAGTTTACAGTATTGAACACAAAAAGGCTAATGATGGGCCGGAGAAGAGAGGAAGGAAAAAGTGGCTCAATCCTGCTTTTTCCAAAAGTGAATTGAAACTCCTCTGTCCACATGGCCAGCTCCCAAGATGGGGAAAATATGCATGGCCCAACACCATTTTTTGCTCCATTTTTTTAGGCCCGGAGTTCAGTTTCATTTCAGCTTCATATAAATGCCCTGCCTTCAAAGTAACTGGAAGGCACTTTATTTTGTTCATCTGTTTTACCCCTCTGTTCAAGAAGTGGTTTGGATATTATAACCTAAATCATGTAGGGCCTCGGCAGACGGAGGCCCCGGAGACGCCGCGGGTCGGAGCGCCGGCAGAGCTCAGCCTCCACACCGCGGCGCTCCTGCGGTGAATCTAAAAGGAGCTCCAAATTGGTGCTCCTTTTAGATTTCAGGGAAAGTGCGTCCTAAAAGCGGCAGGTGCACTTTCCCTGACTCAAACGCCGCGGTGCGTCCGGTCGCCGTGGCGTGAGGTCATCCCCGGAGCGCCGGCCGTGCGAAGGGCCGGCGACTCCGAGGGCGACCTCGGGAAGAGGAAGGGGTGCCGCTCGTGCGGCTGCCCATCCTCTTCTGGGCCCGGAAGACGGCTCAATTAGCCGTCTGCCGAGGCCCGTAGTAAGGATGGAAAGAATATTTGAAAATATTTAGAAAATGGATGAAAAACATGTTTTTCAAGCTAAAGAATTGTCCATTATGTCCCTTTCAGAAGAGAATGCCACTGCTTATTACATGGGTACAGGTGGAGACATACACAGAAGTTCTTTACCTGACAAAACTCTGACTTCTGCTTCATTTCCAGTTCTTGAACTTGCAGGGTTTTTTGCCAGGCATCTATAGAGCCCACTGTCCCCTGCTTGAATTCTGCTGATTTGTAAAGACCCAGAGGGTAGGACTGTCACACGGGTATCACCAGGATTCAAAATCAAGTCTTCTTGATTCCTCTGCCAATGGATTGTAGGCATTGGTTCTCCAACAACTTCACATTTTAACAAAACAGTGTCTCCTGTAAATGCTGTGACAGAGTCCGTCTGAGACAGAAATCTTAATGGACCTGTGGAAAC